TGCTGAAGCAAGGAGGCATTGGCACTGGAGCTTGACACTTGGGCCTGACCCAAGCACTCTGCTGCCCTTTAGCAAGCTTTGCTGTTTCTTATCCCTGTAAGAAGAAGGAAATATTTATCATGCCCTTGGAGTTCAAAGGACAACGAGGGATGTTCCCATCATGCCTTGTATAATTTTACTTCTTTTATGTCCAAACTATCCAGTTATTTTTCTGACGACAAAAGCTTTCCCTCGCTCTCCCTGTCTCCCTTTCAGGCTCATTCATGTGCTAACAATTGGTTAATCAGCTGTGGCTCTCTCCAAACGAGCAGATGTGAAGTGGCTTTTGTTGAGTTGTGCTTTGGAAAGGCCTCCCTGCACCTTTATGTGCTGAGGCGTGAGGTGAGGATGGTGCTAACATGGTTGGCATTGTTCAGGAGAGCTGCTGGGGTCAGCCCGTCACCTGGTTATGGGCCTGGCTCTGCGGACACGTCAAGTTGCTTCATGTCACAGAGCTCCCTAGGCTCCCAGCTACCCACAGGACCAGGTATTCACATCACTCACGACTCCCACTCCAAAGGGAGCTCAGCTGAATCCTCCCTGCTAATGGTCTTGTCAAGCCGATGAGGCAAGAAGCAAGCTAGCCCTGTGACTTGTTAGAACGTGGATATTGGCCAAGATTCCTGAGAGAAGGTTTGGGCCTTAACTGCTATGTTAACCGCTGTGCTGACAGGTACCTATCAGTGCAGTTGAGGTCTATACGGCCCTGCTTTCCCTCAACACTGCTTACACCTCTGAAGGGAGCTGAGCAGACCCCCTACCCCGCGCCGTGACTGCTGCTCAGGCCAATAGTAACACTACAACTCTATAAAAAGCAAGCAAGAAAGATAACCTTGAGAGTCTTGTCCTGACTCTGCACTGTGTCCATCAGGAAATAGGACCCTTTGATATCACAGAGCTTGTCAGAAGAGCCGTGTAGCACCAGGATGGGCAGGGTCAGCTTGGGCAGAGCTCGCTCGATTCTGGCAATGGCGTTCATCAGCTGGATGACGAAGGAGATCTTCATGCCACCGTGGTAGACCAGGGGATCTGCTGTGTATGACTCCATCTGGCACGGAGAACGAGGTAATGTAATGTTAGCAATATTTCATGCAGAAAAAACAAAACACTCACCTTGGCTGTGAGGAGTCTCTTCCTTTCGCTTGCATAGTCATTTCCTACCCTGTCAGGACATCCTGCCATCACAGTCAAAGCTGACATCTTTACTGCAGCTTCGCACAGAACCTGGCTTGTTCCAAGCTGCGTGTTTCTCTTTTACGTCACTAAAAAATACTGGAGCCAAAGATCTTTCCACAGGCAAATAATCAGTCAGCCAATGACTGTTCCCATGGGGACACCTGCTTACATCTATTTCTACCCTGACATGTCCTTCTGTCACTGAAAGGTGACACTTTCTTCCATGCATATGGTACTTCAGTCTGCATTATTTTAAAATTCATATTGTCCGAGTCCTTATCCTGCTTTGGTGACGTCCTGGCTGTCCCTCTCTCCTGGGATAAAAGTGACCCAAAGTGGCAGCATACCTGCCTGCAAAGCACTCCTGCACTGAACGGTTCTCCCTCAGTATAGCAAAGACAGCAGCTCCCTGTGACCCTTCTCCTCAAGCTGGACTACTCCAAGCTGGAGCCTGCAGGCCCAGGCCTCCAAGGGAAGGTGACTTCAATGAACCTGCTTTGTGTGAAGTAAGTTGTGGGCTTGCGGTAAATAACATTTAGGGACCCCATTAGCTCAGCACAGTTCTTCATTCAAATGTTGGCATTAGGTGGCAGGCAAAAAAATAATTAAAAAAATCAACAATTTGCTCAGGCAGACTGTGAGAGGATAAAAATGTACAAGAGCTGGTGCAGAAAGTTGCTAGGAATGAGTAGTTACCGCAGCAGGCAAATCTACAGTAAATATTTGTATACTGTACATGGAGACGGCCCACACAGCCACTGCCATCTCAATATTTGCCCGAATGCTTTGATTATGGGTTGGTCCCTGGCACAGCCTCCAGTTCCTCCCAACCCTGACAGATGTTTATAGAAATGATGATTATTTATAGGCGAGCTGAAGACAGCCTCCCCCTCTCCTCGCAGGCAGGGAGGACTGCTCAGGTTCTCCCTCCCCTGTGGAAAGGTAGGGCCTCTCCTGCTGCACATGCCTGCCCTGAGGAGACCAAGGTGGGACGTGACCCATGATGCCACCCCAGGGACACCCTCTTACATGGAAGTTTGGTCCCAGATGGGCACCTTAGCAGGAGCAGAAGCACCTTTCTTGGCCCTGACCTGCCATGCTGAGAAACCAGAAGCCTCTCTGGGTTGAATTTTACATTCATCTCCCTGTGAGATGAGATTTCAGGCTGGCAGGAGGATGCTACATGAAGGGGGATTTTTCCAGATGGAGGGTTGAATTTGCCCAAGTTTGTACAGCCATTTTCCCTGCCCATGTCCTCAAATGTGTTAGGGAAGAGGCAGCAGAAACAGATCTGGTAGCAAGGCATGTTGGTGCACAGAAGTCCTTCCATAACCTTCTTGCTCCCACCACCGTGGCCACAACCAGCCCCGGCACTAGACTCTGAAATGAGGAGCACTTTTCAGCAGGGAGCCAAACACAGGCTTCTCTCTCACACCCAGAGCTCAGGAAAAGAGGATCTTCCCTTTGACATCTCCCTTTCAAAGGAGCAAGTTCCTGTGCACGCTGAGGGTTTGGAAAATACTGTTTGTAAGAGGCCACTTCAAAGATGAGATTCTGGTTAGTGCAAAGGATCCACTCTTAGGATGCTCCGAGCATCCTCATCTCCTGCTAACGGTGTTAGAAGAGGCAGACGTTGGGCAGTGCAGGCCCTGTCTGTACACACAGGTACTATGCAACTGCTCTACCAGCTTGTGGTTGCAGGAACCGCTCCATTCTCCATCCCTGGCCAAGAAACTGCATTTTTTTTTTTCTCAGAGAGAAGCATCAAGCAAGTGTTCATGGAAGAAGTTCAACTTTCACTTCCAAATTACCAGTCATCTGTAATTTTGCCTGCAGTCTCTTTAACTGCTGGGGGTACCCTGGAATTTTCAGCTAAACCTGTTGACTTTTCTTCAGCATTTTAAACAAAAACACCGGGCTCCTCTGGCTACTTAGCAACTGGATCTGGAGTTATTTGGCTAGACCTATGTCACAGCACTTGCAGTTAAGCAACACAGCTTTGAGATGGGTTTCTTCCTATTTTTTTCACTTGTTTTCTTTTTTTAATTGAAGGCAGCAGACGAAGGACTCCAGGGGGAAAAAAATCAAGTGGGGTGGGCGGATGGATTGACAGAAGTTCCATTCCCATGGAGTAACATAATGTTGATGAATTTATGTGAGTTGGTCCCCTCTCCACCCCCATACACTGCCATAAATGCCAAGGGATGACCTAATGGGTTCCTTTTTTCTCTTTTCTTAAGGAACAGGAAATTTCTAGCTACTGAGCAGCCAACCAGTATTTTTGTATAGACGACAGGAATTGAAAAAATAAAACCCAATCCCAACCACGATCAATCAGCATTGCAGGAGGGAAGATCCTGATCCCTGTGAATGAACAACAGTCGGAGAATTACTGTTCAGTGTGTGAGGTGAGTGCAGGGCACCAGCTCGACTGGGCAAAGGCGGAAAGACAGGAACAGACTTCATCTCCTGGTGGGAAGGGGCAGCAAGAGAAGAGCCCTGCACAGTGCAGCAGTTTAGGATGGAAAAATATGTTTTAAAGAAAAGCTCTCTGCATCATTTTCTGTCATGAACTTTAGCAGTAAACAAGGTTTGGAGAACACAGGGCTGACGTTCAGCACCCTGCAGGACTTCCCACCCGCGTTCTTGCTCTAGTGACCAAGGAGAGTCAGTGCATCAGGTGAGCGAGGGCGATGCTGCCTCCGGGTCCTGCCTGCCCTGGGCAGCAGGGAGAGCTCCCTGGGCAGCACTGAGCGAAGGCGCACGCTCCGTGGGGCAGCGGGTGCGGGAACTTTGGAGGGTATCTCCAGGGGCCAGGGATAGCCCCGCGATTTCTCCCAGCTGGGGCTCAGTGCAAGCTCCGCAGGGATCATCATCACAGTCTTCTTTAAAGAGTCTTTTTTAAAACGCTGAATTTTTTAAGACAGAAGCAATGGTCAGGGTTCCTGCTGCAGTACGTTCCCTAGCTTAGATGTTTGCATCTTTCTTCTGCATTTTGCGCAGAATAAACTCATTATAGTCAACCATACTATAGTCAGTGGGACTATTCCACTGAATTCAATGAGAACTAACAAAGATTAATGGGGTAAGAGAGTGTCCCCATGACCTTATTCACCTTGGAAGTAGGAATGGTTTTTCATGATTGCTTCTTGCTCCCTTCTGTGTCTCTTGCATTTGATATAACAAATAGACTAAACACCCCGCTACCATCCAGTGTTCCAGTCCCTACACCCAGCCTGCTGGGAACAAAAACTCATCAGGAAAATCTTGGCTGATGTCCCCAAAATATTTCTAGAGAATAGAAAGTTGGTCTGGCAGAAGCATACATTTAACGTATAAATAATGAATGTTTCCAGCACGGTGTGTGCTTTGAAGCTGCACATCTTGAGTCCAAACGGAGGATGCAGTGTGTGGCAGTGGCAGTCGCAGCACTGCCATGATGTGTTGTTTTCGGTGGATGCTGCTGTTTGAAGATGCTCAGGAAAGCACGCGGCATTGCAATCGCCAGCTGGCTGAGGCACCTGAGTATTTATTTTGCAGGCATGCCAGGCACTGGAGCAAGGAGGGGTTGGTTTCATTTTGAACACTACTCCATTACAGGAGATGCTAATGAAGCAGACCAACATTATTAATCATTTCAAGAGGCTTGGACAGAAGGAGCTAAAGGTAAAGGAGCTATGACATGAAACTGGACAGTATGGCAGGAGCTGCTCCACGGCAAGAAAATGTCATTGGAATAAAACAACATTCACAGGAAGCGCTTGGATTTGGAGCATCGCAGAGCAGTGGGAGTAGCAGCAAGTAATTGGGTAGAAAAAAAACCACGATAGCTTTTAAAATACACTATGGCCAGTGCTTGCTGTTGTGATTCTTAAAATGACTCCAGCTGCCTAACTGGAAATATCTGGACAATAATGTGCACCCAGCTAAGAGAGCTCATAGGCACCTTTGTGAGCGCGTTGTGATTTGAGATGTCCTCACTGCAGCACTGGTGCCATTTGGTGCACACCAGCACTGCCCAGCAGAAGATTCGGGTGTTGGAGGCAAGTATGTTGTGCTGATTGTCATGTAGAGAACAACATTCTCAAATTCCTTCCCTCCTCCAGAATACAGTTCACTTTTATCCTCTAAATGCAAATGCAGGAATGAAAGCTTTCGTCTGTATGTTTTTACTGAATTAGTTTTCCAAGTAATACTTATTCTCTGAATTATATGCAATGAATTATGGCAGGTGAATGTAACTAAGAAAAGGTATCTATAGCTTGACTAGAATCAGCCTTCTTCCCAAGTCTCTATTTTGTGCAGCCTTGTACTGTACTTAAGAACATAAGCCACACTGCACACCAGGATACAGCGGATCCACACTAACACACTCCATGATGTTTTCCCAGGATTTACTCTACATCTTCCTTTTCCAAGCTTCTTGAATCTTTCTGCTTTCAATCCAGTGAAGTATTATACCTTGTTCACAGGTAAGGAAAACGGAGTCATTTGACCAAAAAATTCTTCGGCAGGGGCAAGAAATAACCCCTAAAGCCTTGTGGCTGTTCTACAAGACTCTCTTGCCTTCCAGTTTTCTGAATGGGCAAATCCACAGACTAAATATACAATCAGAAGTTAAATATGCTGTAGTTATACAACTGCTGACATTGTCTTTGCTGCTGATCCCTTCAGCTTCCACTCTAATGCTGGTATAGCTGCCCTCCTAGAGAAAGGCAATGTACTAGAGTCAACTTATGATACGACTCCTTTCATGAACAGCATGAAAAATGATAGCCTCTTCCTAAGAGATGCAAGCTGGCATGGGAGCACCTGATGACAGGAACAACCAGCCACTACTTCCTCTCTCCAGACAAGGAAATTTTATTTACTTATAGTCTGTGTCCTCCTCCTTTCTCTCCCATAGCAGTGAGAAGGAACAAATCTCCATTTGTGGTGTTGGAGCAGTTGATAAGACATGTGGTTTTACCAGTGATTGCATGAAAAGGCTGCATCAGTTATCACCAGGCGTGTGCATGAATGGGAGAAGGGTCTCCAGCAATGATCATATCGACAAAAAGAATCACCCTGGAGCAGCTCCATTCACGGCCACAGTGGTAGAAGCTGGAATTGGCTTGTTCAACTGCAGCTCACTGAAGTATTATTTTCCAGCACAGGGAGAATACATCATTTGTTCAGAAAGGCTGTAGCAGAGCCAGTATGTAATCCAGGAGACCTTGAGGCAAGGTCTTTGGGGCAAGCCTGCTCTTTTCTGGTATCTGAATGCATCCAGCACAATGCAGTCCTGGTTTGTAAGCAGGGCTCCACAGTGAAGCTTGATACAAATCACTGGGACCAGTGTTTTGCACTGCAAAGAGCAGGGTTGGAAAGTATGACCTTAGCAGTGTTTGTAATCTGTATGAACTATTTTTGCCATCGTAATAAGCAGTGGTGGCACAGCAGTGGTGCCCTGTGGTTCCCACGTGTTACCACAATTGTGGCATCTGTACATCCAGTGCCCAGAAGGGCAAGGTGAACCGAAGGGACACGATGATGATTTCCAATGATGAGTCAAGTTCTCTGTTCTGCAGAAAGACTCGTGGCTCTATTGACCTCAGAGATGCTTCACCTTTTTACATGAGCAAAAATCTTAGACTAGTGATTTATCAAAGCACCTTTTTTTTTTTCTTATATAAGCAAAATGACAAGATCGGAATTACATATCAATTCAGCAGTGTCTTTAAATAGCATTATGGTTCTCACCTCTTTCTTGTTCCGGGAAATTGTATTTGGATCTATTGACCCCAGGGACAGGTTTGGGAGAACAAAGTTGAGCACTTTAGCTGCAAAAACCTGTGAATGCGAAAGGAGTAGTTAGAGGACTAGTTAAAGCAAGAGAGAGAAAACACAGAAGGCCAAATTCTTAGCTGATGGGAATCAGCACTGAAGTTAAGCAGTAAAGAAACACCAGCCAACACTGGAGAAGGATCTGTCCTATATTTAAACTATTTGTCATAAAGGGAAAGGATGTAAACTGCTCCTGGAATCAGGCATTGCATGTGCAAGCTTGAAATGCTTTCAACTGTGCAACTGCAACACCACAACTATATGTACTTTGTCTTATTCTCAAATTATTTTCAATGAAGGCCTCAGCTAAGCACTTTTTTAGGAAAAAAAAGGAAGTTGTTTCCATTCCTCTGCGGGCCTGGAGCTTGCTGCTGTTCATGGCCTCTCCTTGCTGTCACAGTCTGGTTTCAAGCCACAGAGCATAAGTAATATTGTGTGCAATTTGTAGTAGTTGCCTATGCTGCATTCTTTTTGATAAGCTTATTCTTGGGGGAATCTGCAAATAAACAACAGCAAAACGTGCATGCACTGGCTAAGGAAATCTATTGCTCGCTTGTCTCCTGGGAAGGAAACACAAAAGCTCTCAGCAGCCCAAACCCCTGGCAGAAGAAAGGGTAACATTTTCCATTTCAATTACAATCTACCAGTTCTTTGATACCAGGATTCTGCTCTGATCTTTGATAGCTGTCTTTAATTAAGTGATCACCATTTAAGTCATAAAAAAAAAGTAATTAGTGTGTATTGGTCTACGTTATAGCCCTTTTGTTTCCACCCCTAGTACTTGCAAGGTGCACTGTCGCCGATGTTCTCAGTTTCTGCTGATGTGCAACACTTCTAAAGCGCTCTCTGACATTTCAGATCTCAGATGATACGTGACAGAGTAATTATGACATTAGAGGAACAATGCAAGGTTGAAATCAAAGTCGTCAAGGACTGAAAAGAGATGAAGCCTCACAGCAGGTTTGAGAATGCCAGTGTGCTTTGGGGTGGACATAACCAAGGAAATTTTGTCAAAGTCTGCAAGCATTTCAAGCCCCCCACTGACCATGGCACTGTGTAGGCAAAATTAAGTTTTACTGAGATCACTGGATTTGGACCAATAAAAAAATCACAGAATCATAATGCTTGGAAAAAACCTTCAAGACCATCAAATTCAACTGTAAACCTTTTAACATCCTGTCTGCTAAACCGTGTCCCTAAGTGCCTCATCCATATGTTTCTTGAACACTATAATACACAATAAACATAAAGCTTTCCTCACACAAGCAACAGTGCAGCAGCCTACCAATATGCTGAAGGCAGGGAAGATACGACAAGGAAAGGAGAACTCACTATAAGCCTTATTTTCAGAATCTTCCTTTTGGAGACAACCTAAGAAGCCTTTTGTCAGATTTATATGGTCATTTTGCTATTTTAATGATACATGCTTATTATCACAATTTCACAGGTTAGTGATGACCATGACTGTGACATGCTTTGGAAATGTGCCTGAGGTCTTTCTGCACATTTCTGCAGCTTTGCAAAATGTAGTAACTAGCCAAAAAAAAAAAAAAAAAAAAAACAGTCAAAGAAATGACTGACCCCAAGTACAGCAGTATACACTGGCCCAGATGAGCAGTATACACTGGCCCAGGTTACTGATTTAAATTTCTGGTGTTCAGCTGCACAAGAGAAGAACCAGCCCCATATATGGATGTGACAGATGTACCTACACCCATGTATACTCCCTGCCTGCCTAAAAATAATGATTACTTATGTGCAGAAAGAACTAATCTTGGTCAAAATAATTGTGAGAGGACTCTATCCCCTTCTAAGGGTTTTCAGATATGCAGGAGAGGCTACATTCCCTCTAATGTTTAGTATTGCCTTAAAACTGGGATGTAATTATGATGAGTTTTAGAGTCAAGGTCATGGCTCATAAAGTTTCATGTTTTAACCAGGAGGCCAAAAGGTTTCCCTGAGCCTTTGCTGATTTTGTGAGCACTGTGGTATCATTTATAACATATTGGGCTCTAATTAAAAGCTGTGTTGTTCAACTGCTGGCTATATGTGATACCTGAAGAGTTTATCTCCCTGTTGGTTCAAAGTGGAAATGTCATTTCTTGAGAAAATAGCTCCCACGTGGTCAAGAAAAGTAAAAACAATAATGACATTATTACTGGTTAGGCTTAGGATGATACTCTTGAGTAATGGTTATTAGAGTTGTTTCAGGCCAACAGAAGTGTGTCAGATCACTTAACATTTTACTTTCTACGACAAAAATCTCAGAGAAAGATAGAAGTAGATAGCTGAACATTGTCTCTTGACTGGACGTGAAACTTAAAGATAATTTTATGATTTTTGCACCATTTAACTGTACAGGTGCTTTGCTGTATAGACACTTTTCTTCTGCATGGAATAATCCCTTCGTCCCCCAAGTCTCTGCGTGCTTATTTCTCTCTCCCATGACCTCTGCTCGCCAGACTGCTTGCGTGAATGCTTTTAAGTTCATTTCAGCTACAAATGAGCTGGAGTAACAAAGATGTGATGTCTGAACTGTTCAAGTTAGCCAGGCTCATTTCGATGGAGCCAAAACTCTCTGGGAGAGACACTTTAATGAGCTACAGAGATTAGCTAAAGGGCAATTAGAACAGTCACACCAGAAAGGACATACCTCCATACCAAGCTACCCTGTCTGTGTTTGTCATGACCAATATGTTTCTTTGAAACTGGAAAGATCAGAGAAAAGCCAAAATTTGTAAGAATTTGCAATTTAGGACTTCCTTCCAGTTTGACTGTATCTTTAAAGACATTTCTCCGCATTACTACCATGTGCAAATTCAGCCTGAAGGACTGGAATACTAGTCTAAGAGACCCCAAAGTCTTGAACAACCTGATGTTCATCTGGTTTGTAAAGCAATGTATCAGTAAAAGGTCAAGTGGAAACAAACAAAAAACAGGCAGAGAATTTTGTGTGTCCAGTCTTTTAAGGCATAGGCTGGATGCCAGTATAGTAATTACTAGGGAATATTTCCTAGGTTTCTGAGGTTGTCCTATTTTAAAGTGCTTAATAACAGAAATTCAGCAGCACTTCGACCCTTATTCTATTGTTTGTCAGCACATGTAATTCATGTGTTTCTTTTTGAATCTTTCCTAATTGTGAAGATTGGGAGCTAAGTCTTGTCCAGCTTAGCTGAGAAGGTAAAAAGTAGGCAGCAAGGTCCCTTGCTCTTCAGTGCATTTGGAGGTGCCTCTGGGGACACAGTATTTACAAGACACTGATGAAATTGCATTTTCTGTAAAGAGCAGAACTGGTTTCTCCAGCATGTGCTCTGTAAAGGCATATCCTGCTTCAGGCAAGGCTGGGTCAGCAGGGACTGAAGTTATTTCTCACACTGATTGAGGGCCCCAGCATGGAGCCCGGCCCGCTGCTGTTGTTGCCTTGAGCCCTCGTTTGTTTAGGCCAAGGTAAATTCTTGCTCAGCTGGAAACCTCCACGGCGAGCGGATGAATGCAGTGCCCTTGGGAAATGGCTCAGGGCCTAGAAGTCAGATCTGTTCCAGGGGAAAGCCCAAAGCCTTTGTGTCTCAAAGGCACAAAACCCCAGTGAAATGTCTTTGGCTCTCAGAGGAAAAACGCACACGAGTGTTTTCAGCTCAGCTTTCTGAGGAATGGTGGCTTACACAGGAATACTCTGCCTGTTCTCATTCCTTCCTCCTCCAAATACCTTTTCAGCTCCATGGCCAACTGCAAGTAAATTTGACAAAGCAAATACTTCAACAATAAATATTTTTATCAGTTTTGAGAGGCAACAGAAGATATAAAAGACAGGAAAAAAACACTTTGAACTTGCGTTATTGAAGCTGGCAGGCTCTATAGCAAAGAGACCCTACAAACACTCCCAAAATACTTCAGTTATGAGATTACAATTTCCTAAACTGAAATTAAGCAACAACTTGATACTAATCTGCAAGACACCAGACTTCAGCAGCACCAGTTCCCACAGAACTTGCTAGCCTTTCTTTCCGTAAGGGTTTAACATCTAATATGGCAAAATATATAGCTCCAGAACAGTTTTTTTTCCTGTTTTCCTTGATTCCAGTAGAAATAGAAGCCTATTAGTACCTCGCAAATTTAGACCCTGCTTGATATATTTTTTTCCTTAATCATTTAGTCTTTATCCTTTTCAGAAGCAAGAAAAAAACAAGTGCACTGGTGCTCATGGGACATCTGTGAAGATTCACCTGTGAAGCAGCAGCTACCAGCCTCATAAAATCACCCTTCAGTACTTTAATCTTGATTTGTAGTCTCAGCAGGTAGGTCAAGCTAGAGGAGAATGGGCTATGGACTAGTTTTTTTTCAGAACAGTAAAGAGAAATAGTTTAGGAGTTCATTAAAATAAGAAGCTGGACCTAAGAGAAGAATCTAGGGATCAAGGTTAAAGGAGTGAGAACTGTGTGAATGAAATGTTGTGTTCTTGGCGTAACTGGCCCTTCCCTTTGCTTCCTGTGTCTGTTAGGAGTGTTGTTTATCCTTTTAGAAGCACAGAAATGAGGGGAGCAAAGAGCAAGGGTCAATTTCCTAGCAGAGTTTCCCTGGGGAAGGGCAGACCGGGCAAATTCTTGTCCAAAGTAACTCAGGAAAAGAGATGTGAATGGGAGAGTTATAGCCTAGGTGTAAGCTAAAGAAGGTACTTCTCTATGTGGGCAAGAACTAATTATTGTACCAAGCCAAATGGGCCGCGGCTAGCACAGCGATGCTTTAGCTGGAGGCCTTCTTTGAGGGTGGTGAACGATTCCTGGGGCTGAAGAGCTATAGTTTTGTTCAGAAATTGGTCACCCCCCAAATGCCAAAAATATCCATGGCCTGACTTAGCCAAAGCCTGTGTGGCAACTTCACCAGACTCTGTATGAGTCAGGAAGAAAACTGTAGGAGAAGGGAAAGGGCAGTACTGTGTAGGCTGTAAAGGGTGTGGTGAAGAAAGCACAGTCTGCTCCCACCTCCTCAGGTGGCATCCTTCTCTGACTCCTATTTAAATAAGCTTTCCTGGACTGGAGTTCAAAACTCGTTTCTCCTCTGAAAAGTAAGCGCGGGAGCGTGGGGGAGACAGAAGAAAAGTATTGACTGGCATCCAGGTGGTGCAAATCTAATTAGAGTTTTGCATTTTAAGGATAGAAGTCTTAAAGCACTTCCTTCAGCAGAAGAGAGAGGTGACCAAGTGAAATGCAGGTTTGCTCTTACCTTGATGGGTGTAGCGACTTCTGGGTTGGCTACCACTAAAGGAGAGATTAACAGCATGCCTGAAAACTCACTGGGTCTCTCACTAGCTGTCAGAATGGAGATGGCTCCCCCCTGTAATGCAAAAGTAAGAGCCCACATCTTAATACAGATGCAAACATCTCATTTATGCAGTAATCCTACTACTGGAAGGGTTTTAGATCAAACCACCAAGCAGTTCTTCCCCCAGTAAGACTGAAATGTGATTGGAGAGAAAGACTAAAGTGAAGTAACTAAACTAGGTTGATTTTTGCTGGAGAGAGGGCATCTGGTTTCTGCTCTCATGTTGTAAAACCCGTCACATCACATTGAACAAAACTGCGCAGTATCAGTGAACTCTCTAGGATGATTTAAATCCTCCTTGGTTACAAGGGCTAAAAAGGAACAGTCTAAATGTTCAGGTGGGACTGAAATAAGTATGTGCAGACTTATTTTGAGTTGAGTGGGACAGACTGGTGCTGCACCCGGAAAAAGGGGACATGAAACTGGGGAAACATCAAAACAGTGAAGCAGGATTGCTCTGTGCCTGTGGCACTGGTAACAGCAACAGGAAGACTTTCATCTGGAACGCTAAATTAACAGCTAGCTACTCAAAGGTAAATATTGTTCTTGTAAGCATCCACATCCCCTTCAGTCCTCCAGTGCTGTGTCACAAGCTGGGCAGCTAAAACTCAAGCATCCTTGCACCTTCCTTTGAGCTCAAGCCTGCTCAGGCTGGGTCCTGCTGTGTGTGCCCAGCAGTCCATCACTGGTGGGCCGTGGGGGAGAGCAGAGGAGGGGCACTTGGCACACTTGCCCAGGAGAGTTTGCAGAGGATTAGTTGCCCAGGGGAATGTTTGGTGAACTTCCACACTGCTGAGGAACCGGGGGCTTGTTAAATGGAGCGGCAGCCAGGAGAGTCTCAAAGACCTCACTGGGAAATTAGCTCCTTGTTATAGAGGCTTTGGAGCACAGTGAGCACTTAAGAACATGCCATGCGTTCTTATGTAAGAACACTTGTTTATCTGAGCATGGGCTGAATCCCAAAGTACTTATTCATTTTTCTCTCCTCTGGGAAGGCAGGGAGAGAAGATCAATGACATCAATGGGAATATTGCTAGCTTGAATAAAAGGATTTAGCCCGTGCTGTCAGAATCAGACTTCAGATCTGTTCACCAGCTCAGTGCCTTTGTTTTTGCAGCCCTAATCCTTGGTACATTTTCCTGTAAGGTTGTTTAAGAGAATGAGGCTACAGGGAATTTTTGTGCTTCATCCTCCATCCACTCGCAAAGCTTTGGCGGGCTTAAACTTACTGGTTAAAATGAAAGGAGAAATCCAGTGCTGCAGGGAGGTGGTGGGATTTGGCTAGGTACCTACCATGGATAAATAGTCCTATTAAAAAATAGTCCCACTGTTGCAAATGGCACTAATTATGGCCATGATCCAGGTAGAAAAGTTAAGGACTGACTGTATTCAATATAGATCTTACAGTTTAAGGCATGCTGGCAAATCAGAGTGTGTGAAGTTGGTGGTAAGCCTGCTCGTAGTTTGGTTTTCCTTCTGTGTGATGAGTTGATCCTTGTTGTCCAGAACAGTACCACTGTGGCATGGCTCATACCCTGCATGGTGCTAGGAAGTGTAGAGGAAAGGGTGCTTACCATGGAGTGTCCCAGAATGAGAATGGGGAGGCCAGGATGCTCCTTCTTCATGAGATCAATGTGCTGCAAGCTGTCCCTGATGAAGACGTGGAAATCGGACACAACCATACGATCACCCTCGCTCTGTCCATGGCCAACTGCAGTGGAGAGGAAAGCATATATCTAAGTAAGTCACTCGAAGCAAGGGTCACGTTCAAGAAATGCTTTAGCAGAAACATGCCCGCTGGGCCGCCTTAACTCAGCCTCCTCCTGCAGGCAGTTCTCAACAGAGACCACTGCAGAAGTGCAAAGGATGTGGCTCAGAGGCAGGAGAGGGGAGTCTGCCTTGCTGTACACGTAGAAGGTCACTAAATCCTGGCAAATGGATTTTTGTCCCAGAGATCACAGTTCCTGGGGTCTGAAGGCTCACCACACAGTAAGAATTGCCGTTTTCAGTCTTGGCAAGAAACAGAAAATTCTCAAAACTGGATATGATCACTATAAACTTACCAGGCCCCAGATGCAGCTTTTCCCAACACCTGGGAATGTACGAGCTTTGCGGCATCCTGCCTTTTCCCACTGCTTCTCTAGAGCATCACGTGAGCTGGAAATTTTCCCTGCCAGCATTTCGAGGACCCTTAGCTGAAGATCCCAGGTATGAGTCGCTGCAATTCTCTGTAATGGGCATATATCCAGTGGCATGCTCCTCCTGAACTAGTGTTAATGCAGGCTACACTGCACCTGGACGACGCTAGCTTGTTCTGTGGCTGGGAATTATCTTCCCTGATCAAAGGGAAGGGAGAGACTAAAACTGGAGATGATGAGTTGCTATGGAAACAGCAGTATCCCTGTTAGAGGTGGAGTCAGCAATATCCAGGAACAGGGTCCCAGGCAATTTTGAGCTTGCAAAGGCTTGAAATGAAAACCACCTCTGGGAAGCAGTTTGTATGATTAGCTGACATACTGTTATTTATCAAGAACAGCATTCTTCCTTAAAAAGAGTCTCCTTGCATGAAACATTAGCCAGATGGCATTTCTAGGTTGTGTTCTTTTAATACTTCCCTCTTTTCCTCCAAGAAACCAAGCCTACTCCAAAAGATAATGAGTTTACTGAAAGTTTGAATCTCCCAGATGAAAAAGCTTCAGGGCAAGTAACTAAGACCGCTTTTGTTAAAGGAAAGGCATCCGCACAGCCAAACATCGATACAGTCAAGAACATCAGCATGTTTTTCTTTAATCTTTTGCCTTCAGAGCTATTAAGAACGAAAGGTTAGGTGCATCCTTGATGAAAGCCTCTTTGCTTCAGGTTTTTACTGAGAATAAATCTGCCTTAGTGGTTGCATAGTGCAGGTTTCAAGAAAATTGGTGAAAACATGGAACTCTCCATGAAAACCAGGAACTGGAACTAATCAGAGACTGCTCAAAACAGAAGTGAGAGGGACAGGTGAGAGACGTGTCATGAGTATCGGGGACCCAGGAACTCCCCGTATCAAGTCTCCTCTCAGAACCCCTAGTTTAAAGAGAGCAATGTCTAAATGACAAGGCCTTTGAGATGCTCATCTGTAAAGAGCTATGATTATCAATGCATATGTGAAGGGTACATTTGATTTTTGAAATATATTGCTTGGATTCATATCTAACTT